GTAATTTTTTTCTTTAGCCTGTTAATATGGTGGGCTACATTGGTTACTTCTTTGAGCTTACCCTGTTTGGGATTCACTAGCTTCTTTAATCTGTAGATTTATATTTTTTGCCAAATTTGAGATGTTTTCAGCCATTATTTCTTCAAGTACTTTTATTATTTTATTTTTTTTAAGATTTTTATCGGGAGATGGGGAAGGGGAACAGACAAGTTGCTGTCCTTTTGTTCTTCAGTCTAGTTGTGGAGGATGTCGCTTCACTGGTCCATGTTGGTATTATGATCATTGCGCTCTTCCTGGGTGAGGCCGTTGGTCGCCAGCCATTGAACGGCTGCTTATGGTGGCTCATGGCAGCTCCAGCTGTCAGCCGCTCACGCTGGCTTGCCAGCCACTCATGGTAGCTCAAGGAAGCCCACTACAGCCCCGCTGCAGCCTACCCCGTTGCCATTGACTCATGGCAGCCCAGCTCCAGGTCAAGCTGTTGTTCACCATCTTAGCTGTACAGGGCATCATTCAGGATCCGAACTGGCGGCCCTGCTGCTCAGAGCTTGTGCTCCCAAGCCAACTCAAACAACGAGCCACTCGGCCAGCCCTCTTCAAGTACTTTTAAAGACCCCTTCTTTCTTTACTTCTTCTGGGATTCTGGTGGCATGAATGATAAATATTTCATTATATTCTCAGAGGTCCCTGAGGCTCTGAGGTTTGGGGTTGGTTGGTTGGTTGGTTTTGCAGTCTGTTTTCTTTCTGTTGTTCATATTAACTAATGTCGTTCTGTCTTCAAGTTTACTGATTCTTTCCTTTGTTCCTTCCATTCTGATGTTGATCTCATTCATTGAGTTTTTATTCTAGTTATTGTATTTTTTTATTAAAGTTTCCATTTAATTCCTCTTTATATCTTCTTTTCTTTTTTCCTTGTTCTCTTTTTGTGAGACTTTATTTCTTTGCTGAAACTTTGCACTTTTTCATTTGCTTCAAGTGTGTTCATAATTGCTCATTGAAACATTTTTATCATGGCTGTTTTAAATATTTCATCAGATAATTCTAACACTTCTGCCATCTTATCTTAGTGTCGACATTTATGGTTGTCTTTTCTCATCCAGTTGGAGATCTCCCTGGTGCATTGTATGATGAATGACTTCCAACTGAAACCTGGAAACTTTCATATGATGTTATGAGACTCTGTACCTTATTAAAATATTCTGTTTTGCTTGGCTTTCTCTAACACTGCTCTGCCGGAGAAAGGGGTTGGTGTGTGCTCCTTACTGACAGGCAGAGGTGCTCAGCTTTCATTGTCACCCAAGAGAATGGGGATCTCTTTGTTACTGCCTCCCAGCTCCCCCATGTAGACTCTACTGACAAAATGTTAGGGATGGCCTTGGTACTAGGGATGGCCTTAGTACCTTTGGGCAATGGTGGAAGTCCTGACTCTCTACTAGGGTTTTTCTGACACTACCTCTGGAGGAGGTGGGTAGGGAATCTTGTTGCTGCCCAGTAAGAGTGGAAGTCCACGCTGTCCATGGATTCTCTACAGACATCTTAATGATAGGGGAGTACGCTGATTACCAGCCAGCAGTAATAAACATTCTGTTCTCTACTTGGACTTTTCTGACACCGTCCTGGAGGGAATGTTGGTGTGCCTCATTACATCTTTGCAAGGGTAGATGTTTAGGCTCCCCGCTTGGCCTTTGCTGATGCGGGTGGGAGGGGGACTGCAGTTTTTTTCTGTGGTATGTGGTTGGAGTATTGTCCAAAAGTTTTCTGTCTTGATAGGCTGCCTCTTTTCTGGTTGTTTTGCTAGAGAGAGCAGGCTCTTGGTGGGCCTTTCTATATTTGCACCTGTTGGTGTTTGTAGGTCACCAACTTATTAATCTCCAAGTCTGAGACATATGAGGCAAAAAGTGGGCCCACGAAACGCACCACAGGGTTGTTCCTCAGGTTCTGAGGTGCGTAGTTCGTCTGCCTTCTTTCTGCTTTTCAGAGTCTTCTTATGTTTGTTTTACATATAATGTCTGGAGTTTTTAGCTGTATTTACTTGGAGGAATAGGAAAAGTAGATTTACTTCATCTTCCTGAAAGTAGAAGTCTATGTAAGAATTTTAACGTCCAATTTTAAACTTTGAAGATTTATTTCAGGTGGTACACTCCACTTAAAGTGGTTTTAAGAGAGATCTTAAATTTAAGAAATCTTCTAGAGAGTTTGAGGCCCACTTCTTATCTCTAATTTGATGTTCAATAAGATAGAAATTGCCAATTGTTGATCTATCGTTCACAGAGGTTTTCAAGCTGTTTTAAAAGAACATGGGGCAGAGTTGGGTGGGGAAGGACTACAATCTCTTATCCAAAACTCCTGGGGGCAGATGTGTTTTAGTGTTCAAAAAAAATTTTTTTTTAAAGATTTTATTGGGGAATTGGGGGATGGGAACAGTGTTGGGGAATTGGGGGACGGGGAACAGACAAGTTGCTGTCCTTTTTGTTCTTCAGTCTAGTTGTGGAGGACGTTGCTTCACTG